AATAATAAAATAAATATAATTTTAATTAATATATATATATAAATGGGCTGTCTTGCTTTGACAAAAAGTGAAATGTTCATAAAATACAGACTAACTTGTCCATGAGAAGATGTGGATTTGTCCTTTAAAGAACAATCAGTGTACAGAGAGCACTGTACTAAAGCATGTATTAATGGCTGGTTAAATGGGTCTTTGCATACACAAACAGTGTAGATAGCTCCTGTGTAATCAAGCACAGGCAAAACTGAAAAGCTGCCAAAACACTGGATTAAGTGATTTTTATAATGGACGCATATGGACAGACCCGTTGTAGTCACTTGACAAGAATTAACTCAATTACAATACAATTTTATATTCTGAATATGCTCAATTAACCCAGTGATGTAACAGTAGACCGTGTTAATCTAGCATGAAATTTGAAAAGCTCCCTGCTTATTCGCATTTATTCTTGGTAAAAAAAAATAATTCTACAGTAATGTTGGAAGAATTTAAAAACCTAATATATCTGTTAAAATGTACCCAGGATCAACACTTTACAACCGATCGTGTTGAACATGCAACAGATGTAATTTTTAGTCAAAGTCTTTGCTTTGAATTAAAACATCAAATTCTAGTCAAATTAATATGGTGACCTTGACCAAAGCTGTATATGTTTACATCATAATAACATTACACAGTATATAAAAGCTTCAGCAGCTCTAACTGGAGATTAGAGAAATTAGCACTGCTATGTGAGTGTAATTACATTTTAAACATTTCGATATCTTTATCTGTTAATTATGGATGTTTGTCTACGCAAAATGGGCAACACTGTCGCCCTTTAGGATGTTGTATTTATTATTTGTTTGGTAGTCTGCAAGACAATGCTACTTACTGTAGCCCCCTGCAGTTTTTCTTCTTCTTTCACTTTGTCACAGACCTGGCTATATTAAAATTTTGTTTACCAGTTTTTATTAAATAGACCTGGCAATGTTAGATTTAAATCAAACATAGTAATAAAAGCGTTGTAATTATTATTGATCCCTTAAGCTGCACTGATCAATATCTTTATATTAACAATGGATTAAATGACTATGTGTAATGTCATAGGCGTCAATCATAGTGACACACCCAAATGATTATCACCTGATTCAGTTCTGCAGAGTTTTTAGCCTCTTTTTGCTCATTGTTTTGATTTGAAAACCCCCAGACTCCAATGTTATAAATCTCCTTTCCAGCCACAGGAAACACAAACACAGACAGACAACATAATCGACTTGAAGCCAAACAGTTTTCTTCGTGGTTTAAAAAAAAATATAATATATATAAAACATATATTATTACCTGACAATGGATTAACATAGATGATAACACTTTAGCTTAATGTACATCACATTGATGTTAATGTTTGCTGCTAAACAGACAGTTGTACAAAGTTTTATGAGTTTTGTACTTAATATTTCAGATCAGATTAAAGCCTCAGGCAGCTGCAACAGGCATGTTTCCTATAAGAAAAATTGGTTTAAACGAAAGGCATGAAGGATAATTTCATGACAACCTCTGCACTAGAGGCAAAGTCACTATAATTCCAGCAAGACCACAACCATAAACCCCCTCTGCAGCATCCAATTCACCCTGCACGCTTAAACTGTACCCACAACTGATGCTCAGAATGACTCAATCCAGCTTAGCACATACACAGCAATACTCAAATCCCCCTTCCCTTTAATTCGCACTCTCGTGGCGGGGTGTTAATGGCTTACACAACAGATGTTTAGTATGCTGCGTTTAGGTCCATGTGAGCTGAAGCCACCCGCAGTCTTAGACATGCATGACAACCTGTGACTCTGTCTCTGAGGCAAAACAAGCCTGTATCACACTTAGGTTGCTTGTATGAACCAACAGAAACAAGCATGTGTGAGTACATACACAAGCATGCAACACAGGAAGACAACATGCAAAACAGTGAGTGTGGGAGAGGTAGTGTGAATACGAAGGGAAAAGATGGAGGAAGTGACAGAGAGAGAGAGAGAGAGAGAGAGAGAGAGAGAGAGAGAGAGACGATGACAGCTTCCATCTGCTGGGGAGCTACTGATGGGCTCCTCAGACAGAGGATTCCACTTGGATCAGTATGTATGTATACACACTAATGCAGTAATGAGGGTATTTGACAGAAGTGTGCTTTATGGCAACAATTAGTAAGGGAGGAAAGTTGCCTCATCATGTATATGGAGCAGTGGAAATTATATAAACAGCTGCAATTCATCAGACTACAGGGAAAACGACTGTCTTCATTCCTGGCTGATCAAAGCAGTGTGAGCAAACGACAAAGGGAAGCACATTTTTTGCAGGTCCAAGATATGAATGTTTCCAGTACACATTGAGAACTTGCACTGCACAAAACATGTCCAAATACAGAAAGCATAAACAATTCAGTCCTGTAATATTACTTCCAGGAAAGGCTAGAGCAGTCGCAAAGGCTAAAACAGGTGTGATGTGTTCATTGGTTTGACACTTTGACCCTGAGGTGTACAAGAAAGGCCGCCACATTCTCTATTTTTCTCACGCAAGGGTTGATCTTGTCATAGATAATATTTCCACCTATCTCGCTGTGCGGTCACATCAGCACATTGATTCTAATGTAATGGGATTTTGCCTACCGCTGACATCTTGTAGTACAGGTGTGCAAAAAGCCTCCAGGATGACAGTTTAATGCTGCATTCATGTCATATGGGAAAGATGGTAGATATAAGCTCCCCCACCCCGCTTCACTTCAGCATTCAGCGGGTAAATATAAAACACAGTTAACCTCAGCTTAGGGAGTTATCACTACTCTGAAGTTCAGGGTGATGTGATGGATCCTGACATCTAAGGCTTACTGAATTCTGACGTCACTACACCAGCGATCTATATATGTACACACTGTATATACAGTATCACAACTCTTGGCAGGGCTTGGCTTTTTTTTGATAAGAAGCTGCTAAAATCTACAAAGCAAAGATCTTTGAAGCATCTTCAAGGCCTCATGCTAAATCAAAATTTTGTAAATATATATTTTAAGCCACCCTAGCAGCAAGGCACTCTGGATGGCAATATTGATTTGTTGGTCTGTCCACCTTGGACCAGACTGAACATATAATATAATGAAATATAATAAAAATAAACTATGTGATGAATTACCATGAAATTTTGGACAAAACTGCATGGTCCCAGGAGGAATCCTAATCCTTATGACTTGTTATTGACTAAAATGTCTCAGATGTTGAGACATTTCCCCTCAAACAACAACAACAACAACAACAACAACAAAATGATGCATTGTTATACATTTGGTACAAACATTCATGTTTAGCATACAGATGAACATATAGCTCAAAGCACCACGGTCAAATGTCTTTAGGTGCAGGTGCCCTGTCCAACCAGTAGAAGTCACTAGTGCTGCAACAAGGACAGCTACCAGTTAGAACAATTTACCAATATTTTGTTTTGACTGACTATATTCCAATATATGGAATATTCCCAAAAAATATTGGTGGACTGAAATTTAAAAAAAAAATGAAAAAAACGTATACTCTTCAACCAATCAATTGGTCGATGGGAAGAAAATCAACACAATTTTTCTAGGTTAACTAAATCGTTCTAACTGGTAGCTGTCCTTGTTGCAGCACTAGTGACTTCTACTGGTTGGACAGGGCACCTGCACCTAAAGACATTTGACCTATAGGTAGTATGAACCTGTGCATGTGGTACCACCATCCCAGTGAAGTCCAGGTGAAGATAAGTGTTGGGCAACACACTAGGGATCATATGTTTTTCCCAATTGGAAAGGGGTGGGAGCAGTAATAATAATAATAATCATAATAATCATAATAATAATATTTATTGCCAATGTATTGAGAGCTTCAGTCTTATTTTATTTTGTTGCATTATACTTGGCAATACCAGTTGTTTTCTGTCACTTTCAACTTCATTAGAATTAGAAACAACTTTTGTCTGATCCGAGTAACATATTTTAGCACTTACTTAAACAAGACAATGGGGGACTAAGAATGTGCTGTTAAATGTGTAGGAGAAACTACGTGCAAAACACTAACGCCCCTATCTAGAGCCAGTGTTTGGTTTGTCCATTCTGGGCTACTGTAGAAACACGGTGGTTCAACATGGCGGACAACAACTCTCATTTTAAGGTGATTATACACATGTGTTGAATACATACCTATGAATATTATATACCATTTTGGCCAATAGATCCTCCGAAATGTTACACACTGGACCTTTAACATTAAAATGCAATATACTGTATAATGACCTTTCATCCTGATGCTGAATTAAGTTGACCAAAGTGCAACACTCCTCATGCCTTGCAGGCCTTATAGGCAGACCTCATCTTCGAATAAGCCCCTTAAATGGCTGTACCCACTACTGCCATCAGGAGGCCCCAAACAAACAGACAAACTAACAATACGTGTTATCATATTACAGCAATTTGAAGAATCTGAAAATTTTGAAAGATAATTTAATTACATACAAACCACCTCACTGGGGATTTAATTTACTTTGTTTCTTCCAGTCGTTCGAACAGATTCTTGTTCTGCACATTTCCAGTTATTTCTTGAAGTGGAAACAGATTTTAAATTCCATTGATGCTGGTTTGTTCTGTCACCCGCTGCTAATGCCAGCGGTATTATCTGCCAGTATCAATTATAATAATAACCACAATAATAATTAAGCTGTTTATACTTATAATTTTAGGAGTGGGGGGAGTCACAATCTCCTTACCAATGGCTATCATAAACTAAACTATATAAACTAAAATTTGAGCTTAGGTATAAGGGAGAGCACAGATCATGGCCAAATTGTCAGGATCCTTTGCTGCCTAATACAAAATGCTATATCATACATTATTAGACTATAAAGACTTTCGGTTGGTCCTGTCTGCCAGCTGATGTGACTCTATGTGCTGTATGCTTCCCAAATATACTTGTGTGCACTCTTCACTCCACTCACACGCCTCAGTCCCACACTGCTCTGCGAGCTCTGTGCCGTACCGGACAGTGCTGCTCCTTGTCATACCCAATCTGACACTCACGAGCATGCACCCATATGACGTGAGACACTCCGGCACATGACATATTTGGCTTTAAAATGACGTCACGGCAGCGTGGGGCTCAGCAGGCAGGTCGTTCGTCAGTCTGAGAGAAGAGGAGCAGCAGGAGACGGACCAGCCTCCCTCTCTCCTCTCTGATGACAAGCTCTCATTCCCCCTCTCTCCAACTCCTCAGAAACAACTCTCAGCCTCCAGGACTCTCCTTCGCTTCGCTTCCCCCCTTTCTTCCTTTTTTCAGTTGCACCTCATTTTTATTTTTTTAACTTTTGTCTAACCCCTCCGCACCTCTCAACACCTCCAGAGATGTGAGTAGATAATGAGGACCCCCTGCCAGCGGTGACTTCTCTCCTGCGTGCTTCAGAGAACCGAACATCCTCATCCCCCCCCCCACCCACCACCACCAATTTTTTTTTGGACGCTCATCTGCCTTTCAACAATGTAGGAGAAGGTGCGCTGTCATTTCAGCGACGAGGATGCCAACTACATGCCTTGTTTTTGCTCTCCGCAGCTTACATCTTTGTCTCTCCAGCCGGGGAGGGGGGAATGAAAGATTTGCGTGAAGGCAAAGTTTGAGGGTACCTCTCCTTTGGTTTCCCGCTCACCTGTCCGCCTGCAAGCGCGTACCCCCCTTCTCCTTTAAACTGACAAGGAGGAAGACTGTCGCCAAAAGAACAATTGACGAGCAACTTAAAAGAGACCTGACTATTGTTGTGGTTCTTTCTTTAGTGGGATCTGGAAGCGCTGTTGGAGGAATTTGATGTGCGCAACGTTGGAGGATATGGCTTAAATAATGGTTGCGTTACTGACAGCCGGAGTAAGGTCCGTCACTTGAGTGTTTTTATCAGCTATTGTCGACTTTGGTGGAAACCCATCTAAATGGGAGGATACCTGGAGGACTGAGTCGGATTCGGCAGTCGAGAAAAATGTGGATAAAACGGAGTGTTGCGCGCAGGTAAGACACGAACAATTGAATTTCATGTTATAATAATTTCAGTGTAATGGAGAAAATGCTTGGGAGAACCGAGAAACACCGACATTGTTTTACGGTGTTACACGTTTAACGGCGCCGCTCGATAACACGTCTCAGTTTTTTAATCTACGCCACTGCAAGTTATGAGAGTGTGCTGGAATTGATGAGTGGATTAAATGTATCAATAGGTCTGTACAAAAAAAAAAAAAAAAAAACCCACGCAAATGTAGCTCCTCTTGCATTAAAGTTCCTCACATACACCGGCTATCTTCCGTTGCGGTGTTGACGCTGAGGGATGATGAGGCGGAGGCTTAATGTGGATAATGTTTTGAGATGTTTTAAAAGGAAGAATATGATCGAAAATTTCACGTCCCGTACGCTGGGGGTCGCCAACAGTACGGCGCAAGCAACACACATACACTCACAGACACACGCGCGCGCGCTCCAAACACACGTGTGCAGACGCACGCGCGCACGCAGCCTCAAGGTTAGGTCTGTCAGCTCCTCCACACTGGTGAGAACGAGCACATGCACACGCATTAGTTGTGAAATCATAGGTCAAATTTATAATAAATCATATGTTTAGAGGTAAATGTCTTTATGGGGTTGTGATTAAATGAATAATAGTGATACTGAGTCACATTGAGGTTGTGGCTTTTTCTATAAGTCTAGCTCCCCCCCCCCAAAAAAAATAAAATAAATAAATAAAACAAATGGAAGTAGTGGGTGTATGTACTGACTAGAGGAGAGGATGGCATGTAGACTGCTTGGATGGAGAGGTAAGCTTTCCGTTATTCCTCCCAATAACATCCACTAACACGTTGCTTCTGTTCTCATATTACAATGGACATTTTTCTAGTCATAGAAAAAGAATTATAAATTGACACTTTCTTTGCTTTCGTGAAAACATGCCATCCCTGAACTGAAGCAGTATGGAGACCAGCCTACTGACTTAGTTAGGAAGTCTGCAAACAAAAGCTAAAATTGATCTCATTCATTTGCCGTAAAATAGGTTTAGAGCTAATGACACGCTGTGAAATGAGACCAAACCTGCCAGCGGTGAGATTCTCTTGCCACCTGCTGGATCTCATTCCCACCGGTAGCCCTAATTCCTGCCCATTTGCAGCCGTTCATCTATTATGCATGACACACACTGTACATCTTAGGCCTGACCTCGCAGGGTAATGGCAATACATGCCGTAAGACAGCACAGTTGTATAAGATGATGAAATGAAATGCATTTAGGGTGCCATATCTCTAGATGGATCAGTCAGAGGCACAGAGAAACCAATTTCCATCTTCAGGAATTTTCCTGTCACTTGCTGACATGATGTGGGACGTTAAAATCGGTTGTGGGAAGAACGGCAACTGCTTTTAAGGACTGAAGCCGCTTCCTATTTGCAGTCATTTGCATGTTCCAGATTTTGTTTGCCATTGCAGGCTAAAAGCTTACATTGTTTGTTATTGTCATTCATTATCAGTGATGGCAATATTTGGTTTCCTAAGCATTTTAGTGTGTGTGATAAAGCCCTGCTTTCCAGTAGAGGTTGTGTTTAATATTATTAGTTGCTTTGGAATAACAAGAAATAGAAGTGGACAGTGAGCATGGGCAGAGAAAGACCCTGTACCTGTTGGAACAGACAAAGAAACAGACCACCTACAGACACTTGATATGTGGGCGTAAATGCAAAAGCAGTGACTAGTAAATCTGAATTGAAGAATAGATGGATGGATACATAGATAAATCAAATCTGAGAATTTTGAGGAAGATCTGTAGTTACTCTTCATGTAATTTAGGCCAACAGTCTCAGTAAGACACCCTGTGGACTAAAGGTTGGTGATGTTTCAGTATCATCCTTTATAGACTTTAGTGCAGTGGTATGATGTGATGAACTGTGCGTAGAGTACAAGCAGGAGATATGTCTGCTGTGAAAAATATCTGCAATTAAGTTTGAATAATTGATGAACTGTTTTTAAATGTCAAACGACAATGACAAAAAATGGCCATTGTAGGTTCCCACAGCTTGATATTGTTCAATTGTTTCATTTGTCCAACCAACAGTCCAAACATATTTTATATATATTTTCAATAATAAAAAAAGAAGAGGGAGAGTGCTCACATTTTTAACGCTGGAATGAATACATGTATTGCACTTGATAAATTACTGAAATTTATGGTCAGAATTGTGGATAATCTTCTGTTGTTTGACTGATTAATGCATCAACATATGGTTTCAGCACTAGTTATATTGCCTCTTGAAATAAGTTGTTAATGTGGTGCATTAATTCCAACGTGGAACACAGTTGCTTGATGAAAACTTTTGGAGCATTTTGGCTCAAAAATTAAATAAAAATCTTTTTCTCGAACCACTAGTAACATTGGAAAGGTGCTTCATCCTAATTAAACCACCTAAAAGTCAAACTTTGGCAACGGCAGGAGTTTTATTCTCTGGCTTGAATGGTGTGCTTAAAAATTCTCCCTTTAGCAATAACTACCCAAGCACAAAACTATTACTCAGGATGCAAATGAAAGGAAAAGCAACATTGTGCCAGTAGGTAGATACCAAAACCTCTTGTTAGCTTGAATAAAACCAAATGCTCTATTGCCACATGAATCTGACTCTTTTCAGTCAAACTAGTGGTTCTCATACATGTAATTGAAAGAAAATGTATTTAGTTTTGATTCAAGATGACGAGTGCCTGTAATGGTGCAGAATTACAACAAGCTCAAACCAGAGAGCATCTCACTTGAGAGTTACCCAGCAGGCATTCATCTCTCCTGGGCTCGGCATCTCTGGGCTCAATCTTTAATGGACGTTGCACAGTTTTAGGTTCCCCATGGTGAGCTCTCATACTGCCGAGGCACTGGGGATGCTATCAGGCTTCGGCACACTGCAGCTGCAAAAGAATTGCTGGCAGAGACACCAGTTGCCTTTCAGGAGGGCTTCATTTGCCAGTTTCCACTTGTTTAGTACAGGTGACTGTTCCTACACGTGTCTGTCTTTATTCTGGCCCAGATTAATTCTCATCGTAAATGGAGGTAACAGTGACATGTCAAGTGATCGGCATGTGAAGTCGAAAGTAAGAAAAAGAGAGAAAGTGGCTTTAGTAAATCTTCAGCTCAGGAATTATTTGCTCATGTTGATGTTTCTGGTGATCATGTGCTTAGTATTCGATGTCTTATCCCCACTTAAACATGAAGCCTATTTTGTATCTGAGTAATAGTCTCATTCTTATTAACATCGCTGACTTAATGAACCAGGGTTCCTGATATATCATATTCTACACTGAGGTATTTTTCTCTTGGGGTGTTTATGACCAGTCGGCATCCTCACAGCTAGCTCTACCAAGAACTCCAATGCTAAACGTGACATTACTGTGTGAGGGGCCATCTGATATTCAGATATTCCTGTGATTTAGGTGCCATCTTAATAGCCTCTATGAGGGTTATTAACTGGGCCTCTCTGGAGCGTGATTAACCTAATTTGCAGTGAAATAGGCTGTGTTGCTTCTCTGAGATCCTGTCCTCTGGAGATTTTTGTGTGCATGTGTGTGTGTGCGTGTGTGTCGTAAACACCCTGTGCTCAGCAGTCTGTTAAATCCAGAAGGACCAGAACAGGTTGTCCCTGTGAAATAGCATAAGAGATAAAACAGACATGGATGCTGCTTCATCTGACCATCCTGGAAATACAACTGAGAGAGCAAGACAAGAGAAAATGAGAGGAACTTGCTGTTGCTAAGGACAGGGGTGAACCATAAATGACTCGTCATTGATAAGCATAGCAATTAGTACAGAAGAGGCATGTGCAGAATTGGACCATAACTGCCACCATAACACATCACTGCACAGAGGATGTTGGAAATGAGACAACTAGAGCTCATATGGAAGAAAACACTTGAATTAAAGCTCTGTTAGCCAAACAAGTCTTCTTTTTACAAATATTAAATAACTAATAATAATAATAATACTAACTAATTGTTGTACAGAGGTGGGCTAACAGCTGATAAATCAGGTTTTCATGCAGGTTTAACTGTGTGACAACTTAAGTAGTTGGTCAAATCTTAATGATGATCATTTGGGATCATCAGAGTTTGACACTAGAAGGATGTTTTGACATTCATAGGGCTGGGTACCGAACTGCTACTTTTATGGCCCTTTATACTACCAAGTTTTTAAAAATGTCTTTGTACCAAATTTCGATACCAACGCAGTAAAAATCATCAGCGTCAGTGTGCCAAGAAGCTAAATCTAACTTTACACGCCTTAGAAGCATGCAGGAAAAACACCACGTTTACACACGCAGACAGGACTTGCTTTTCTACTGCGAGCTGCTTCATCGCACAGGAAACTGAGTGAACTTTGTGCTGCTTGTTAGCTGGCCAGAGCAGCTTAACTGTATCTGCTCGTCAGTGAGTCCGTTCATCACATGGGGTGAAAACCACGGTGCATCCTTTCCTCGCCAATGTGGGGGCAGAGAGCATTTCAGACAGCGTGAAGTTGTTTACAGACCGACAGGTAAAAGGAGAGAAACACACTGAAGTTGACGGTGAGTTGTTGTCAGACCCGGGGTAGCTGGACAGTAAGGAAGTCTCACTCTGCCACCATTTCCCAGTACCATTCACATACCCACACAGTCATTCCCTTCTCCTTCTTTGGATCAGACTAAACATATTGTTGCCATACTGTTTAGTTATTAATATTCCTTTGACAGTATTTTTTATTTAGTCCAGTACTGTAGTTAGACAGATATTCAGTTTTATTTCCTCATTAAATTAAATAATATTGTGATGCATCTTGCTGTATTTTTCTCAATTTACATTACACTCACATGCTTACTCTGAGCTATTTGACTATTTTGACACCCGTTTCTTCCTTAACTGAAAATTGCCACATTTGGACCTCAAGTGCAAGTTCCCACCATAGTGCCAGCAGCCCTCAGCCTGATGGGGCTTAATGACCAGCTTGTCCAGTTTGGGCTACA